CCATTCCTAGTACCCCAGCCACTCAGGCTGGTTCGCCTCAGAGGAAAATCTAGTTTTACAGCATAAACTCAGAGTTGGGTGGGTGCTAAAATTCACTCTTAAGTATTCTGTAAATTACCCAACCAGAAATCAGTTCTTACTCTTACCCAGATTTTAGGTGGCCTCCCAGCTCACTTGCCCAGGACAGCTGTTCCCTGACTCCAGACCTTACTGCCCTCCTGGAGAGCACTCCAGAACTGAGCCTAGTGTAGTGGTGATGGATGGAGATAATTTTCAGACTCCCAGGAGCTGTTAGGGACCTAAATTTGTTACTAAATCCTTCCCTTTCCTTATGAGAAGGAAGATCTATTAAGCCTTCACATAAGCACTAAGCTAGGCAAGTTAGGTACATTGTCTCCTTTTAAATCACCAGAGAAGGATTCCTCTCTGAGGGAGGCAGTTAAGTATTTTAAAACAGGGGCTTAGGAGTGAGATGGGTCTAGTATCAGCTCTCTCTCTGCTACTCATTAGTCAAATATTGGCTGAATGATGTAACTTTTCTAAAGCTCAGTTCTCCCTCTTTGATAAGAAGTTACAACAGCTTCTACCTCAAAGAATTATGAGAAATCCAAGAGCTAATTGCCTGTAAAGCTCGCAGTATGGTGCTTAGCACACTGTACCGAGCTATATTAGCTGTCTATAAGTAATAGCTATTACAACTAAAGAGTCAGCCATTTTCTTTTGAAATATGAGCATCTTAGAGAAATGTTAACTTCTGCTGTGCTAGATTGTGCTAGACACACAGTTTCTTTGTGTTTACATGTCCTGAGTTTTGACAGAATCAAGATATATAATAATGGGCAATCTGATTTGAGCTCTCCCCTTCAAAAAGGGAAAGTATCACGAGATACCCTAATAGATAAAATAGGGAGAGGGAAGAATGAGCAACATGTGGTATTTTAGATAAATTAATAAATAATTAAGTAACCATACCCAGTGGGTATTGCTTTATGGACCATTATCAGCTCCGACAGGTGGTAGAGAGATCAAGGACTGTGATGGTCCCACATGGCCAGTAGAGTCAGGATCTATGTGAAGTCATGCATTCAGTTCTCAGTGCCAGGTTTTAAAGGAAACATTATCCCTCAACTAGAAGGCCGTTCAGAAGACGCTGAACAGGATGAGAGTGGATAGAGGAAACCAGAGCACACCTGGTGTGGAGAAGACAAGATTAGATAGAATGTGAAAGCCATCTCCAAATTTTTCAGAATCTTTCGTAAAAAGAGGAGACATAGACTTATTCTGTAATTGTTCTCTAACATTCTATAATGTGTTTTTCAAAGGGTAAGTCAATAACCCATTAGTGGTTATGAGATCAATTTGACAGGTCAAATTGATCAGCATTTTAAATAAATGAAATAGAACATAATAAAAGATTCCACATGCAGATCATCCAATAAGGGTCACTGCTATTCTATGAAACTCCTGTTTAGTTTAGTTATATTTATATCCATGTGTGTAAATCTAAATGTAACATGTGTCCTTACATTGGGTCACAGTAAAAATAAAGATTGAAAGCTCTGGAAGGCAAAATATGGACAACTGGACCAAAGAAACAGAAAGTCAGATTTCAGCTCCCAACAAAGAACCCTTTATAATGATTATCACAGTATAAACATAGACCAGGCTTTCTTAGGAAGCAAGACTCCCTCCACCTTCCACACCACACTCTCCAGACCCATGCTGAGCTTAAACTCATGCTGGGCATGTGTGCATGCGTGATTACTCACTTTCTGTCTCTGTCTCTCTCTGTCTTTCTGATGAGCACACACACCCTATAGCAAAAGCCTCTCCAAAAAAAAGGAAAAAAAAGAATTATTTGTTTAATTTTATTTATCGTTATTATCATTATTATTTAATTTGACCAAAGAGGGGGAGAGAGAAAGAAAAGGAAAGCGAGAAAGCAAGCCACCAGGTTTGGGACTCGAACCATAGTTGACCATGTGGGAGTCTAAAACCTTAACCACCACACCACCTGCTGGCTTCAAGGCCTTTGACTCTTACTAATCAAATCAGAAGTTTTTTTTAAGGCCTTAGGTCCTGAACAGTGGATTCAGATATGTTTGATGTTGACAATTATTCTTTTTCTGTATTTGATGTAGAGATTATTAAGAGTTGAGGAAATTAAGTCTTAGGGAGGGAGTAAATTGGCTCCCAGAAGCCTGTGCTGTGCATCAATTACTTGGTATTGATTTGACATACTTAGGCTAGATCTACCTGATTGAATCAGAAGATTCTTGAGCCTCCAACCCATGCCTCTCATTTCATTGGAGGTCTAGGAATCTGTTCCATTTGATGGACCAGATTCCAACTTCTTAAAAATTCCTCTGGCTTTCATGCCTTTAAATTTTCCTAGCTCCTCTGCTTCTTCAGTCTCTTCTTCTTTCCTCTACTGTCCAGTTATGGGTGTTCTCTAAGTGACCTGATCATCAGGGCTTCATCTCTCTTCTTCTCTATACCTGTCCCCAACTTCTCAACCAGCCCCTTGTTCCTTACTTCTTCGTGCCCGTAGGACAGTGAGTCACTCAACATCTTTTTCAGACCAGTTCCTCCTTACTCTGCTTCTTCCATCCTTAGCCTAATGACCCATTCTTCCTATAAATAAAATCTGTGTTGGCCTGATTACTTTGTTCTTTTCTTCGTGATAGCCATCTAGTTAAATAGAGAGTAGAATCCTGCTTCAAAGATTCGCTATCTTTCTTCATTTTGGTATCTTGAAAGATATGGGGTCTCTTTCTTCCTTTCCATCTTTATCCCAACCTCACATCTCGTTGCTTTCTGTAACTATCCTAGACTGTCCCATTATTCCACAGGGCTATGAGAGAGCGAACTGAAATAATAACAGCAAATATATGTGGAGTCCTTATATGCTTTGTGCTAAGGATTTTACATCTGTGACTTTATTTAATCCTTACAACCTCCCTGTGAGGCTTGGTGTTAGGATACTAGGTTTAGAGCAGTTAGGTGACTTGCCTAAGGTCACACAGATAGTGAGTAGCTGACCTGTGACTCAGTCCAGATTTTTGGTTGAGTTGATGCTTTTGCTAGTAAATTCTGCCTCCAGGGATATAGGACTATATCCAGTAGAGGGCATTAGTTAAGGTAAGTTCCCTTCTTTTATTCTTTTTTCTATTCCCTCTCATCCCCAAATCTATGTAAATTCACAGGTGAATTTAATCAATCAGTGGTCCCTTCACTGTTTGTAGGATGTAGTTTAATTCTTTCCTATGCTGTTCACAGTATGTAATATCAAGCACACTGAGGCAGTAATCGAGGCTACCCCTGGCTTCACTGTAAACTTGGTCTGCGACATTAGGCAAGTCATTCAACAACTAGGCCTGAATTTCCTCATCTGCCAAGTGAAAGGTTTGGTTGAGAATTTCTTCGGTTCTTTCCATGCTTTGTAAGTCTGTTTTTCTGCCTTACCTTGTTTTCTCCTCCTTTCTAGTAAAAACCCTTCCCTCTACTGATACTTCTTCCCAAGCACTCAGACCTTGACAGCTGCCCCTTCGCATCAGCCTCTGCTTGCCCAGGACTGCCTTTTCCTCTCCCCACTGCATCTGAACTCCATCTAGGCTCTCCTTTCTCCTGCAGAAAGTTAGTCCTTCTCTCTACCTTTTCCAGGAATCACTAGTCCTTGGAACTCTGTATTGTTGCTTTCCTGTTTTCTGCTTGCATATCTTGTCTTCTTAAACAGATAAATCCTTGAAGTACTAGTTAACTGTTCTAAATTTCTTTTGTGTGCTATTATGCACTAGGGTACACGACTTTAAATTTGATAATTGTTAAATGATTGGATTTGGGTTTATCTGGAGACAGAAGTTACTAAGCCCATCAGGGAAATTGGAAGTCTAGACAGGACACGCACACCCACACCCACCAGAATGGACTGGAAGGTGGGAGGCTGACATTGGAGCAGCAGGAAAATGCAGTGTTCTGCGAGGCTGAGCCACATGGGAAGGTTCCTGGTTCACCTCAAAACCCTGTTGAGGGTACTGTCAGTTTCTCTAGCAAAAGTAAGAAATTAAAAACAAAGTATTGAGTAGAGGGGTAAAGCTGCTGGCAGGCAAGTTAGGGAATTGCCACAATCCAGGCAGGAATCCCTGTAGGCCTGGCCTAGTATAAGGCAAAGAGTGTGGAGAGGCAGTTAACAGGCTTGGTATATGCTCAGTCTTGACACTGTCCACTGCAACTAGGCTACTACCTGGCTGCCTGCTCTCTGAGTAGCAGAGCCAGCCTGGCAAAGCCAAGCAGAAGTACTCTAAGGCAGGCCCGGGCAGCCCAGAGGGCATAGGGTATAATCCAGGGTGAGGGAGTGGGTGAGTGTCACTTGTAGTGCAGCCTGATTTAAGAGGTTGAGCAGAGTCCAGACATTTTCCTAGAGTTGCTTTCTTTGCCTCTGCTGGGGGCAGGTGATGGCTTGGGGATGGTCACAGACTGTGCCAGGGTGGGAGCACGCGCAATACCTATGGCTATAACGTATGTTTTGGCCTTTCTGTTCGTCAGTGGAGCACATGGTTGCAATTTATTGGCCAGTCCGAGTGTGTGATGAAAGCACCAGGGCCTGGGCACTTCTGAGAAGTGTGACCACATTCCACCAGGAATTCTACTTAAGAAAAAATCCATCCTACTGCAGAATCTAACCTGGATTTAGGGGCAGATCCAGGAACGAATTTCACCGGGGACTGGTCTGGTGGAAACAAAGACAAAGTAGAAGGAAGTCGAACTAGAGAATCTACTAAAACTGCAAGGGAGTCTGTCGCCTCTTAAATCTCAGCGAGACACGTCAGCTTGAGCTCTGGCAATTTAAGCCTGGCAATCTGGCGGGCCAGGGAGGGGCGGCGGGTGGTTAGAGACGGGCTCTAGGGCCCAGCAGCTGGGCGCCAGGGCGGGGGTGGAGTGTAGGGTTACAGTGACGAGCCCAGGCGACCCTCCCTGGCCAGGCGCGGTCTGGGGAGGGCGGGTGGCGGCGGTAGCGCGCGGGACGCTCTAGGACCCAGCAGCGGTTGTCGGCTTTGGGCTAGAGGTGAAGTCCTGGCATTTCCCTCCTTCCTGTGTGAATGGGGCTGATTGTCGGGCGCCACTTCCCCGCGCTGCCCCGCGCCATACTCTGTGCGCTGCCTAGCGGCCGCCTTCCCCAACCACAGGACTAAACTAGGTATGATCGCCTCATGTGGAAGGCAAAGTTGCGCCGGGGAACTTGTGAGCCTACGGTGAAAGGTAACAGCTCCGGCTTAGGTGCGGGGAGGGCGCCTCCGGTCAGCTGTGCAAAGGGCTCCCCGGCCAGTGCTTCCCTGCCCTATCCTGCTCTGGGCAGGGGGCTCCTCCTGGGGGCCTGGGCCGAGGTCGGCCAGATTCCGGAGCGACTGGGGCAGCTGATCCGAGGCTTTGGGCCGGGAGAGTCCGTCGTCGTGGGAATCTTGCTTTCTATTACTCAGATTGTTTAAAAAGAGCCAAACATAGTCCCGGTGCCATCCTCCAGGTCCCTGGAGCCCGCAGGTCCGCGCCCCGCTGCAGACTGGAAAGTTGTGTCCGCCAGCCCGCGGCGACCCGCGGTCCGTAGGGTGCGGACGAGCCCCAGACGCGGGACTGGCCTTTCTAGGGGTGCTGCCATATGGCTGGACTCTCCGAGACGTGCGCAGGCTCCCGGCTGCTGGCTGCCGCGGGAAGGGGCGAAAAGGGGTGTCTGGTGGCTGCTTCCCTCGGCTGGAGACAAAGGGCCCATACCCGCAGGTCGGATAGGCCCCGGCGCTCGGGCTGGATCTTTTCTGTGCGCAGGCAAGACTCGGGTCTGGCGGGGGGGGGCGACCCGGACCCCGAGGCTCGGCTCGCCTTAGCAACTGCTCCTTTGTTCTCCCCAAACAAGTTTCTTCGATAAACTGGGGAGTAAGAGCTAGTTCTTCCTTCCCGGTTAGTGCTGTCTTTACAGGAATCTGATTTCGGGGAGCGGAGGATTAAACTTTCCAAGTGGGACTGGTTTTTCTTGGGATATGACATTTGTAGCTGGAGGGAGATAGGCTCTTCGGCGGATGACAGCGGGCGGAATGGGGCCCTGCGCTGGGGCAGGCTGCACGAGCTTGTAGGCAGCCTGGCCAGAGGACCAGAACCGAGTAGAGGAGCCCTGGCAGTAGCCTCCAGGGCCTGGGCCACCTGGACTGAGCTTGCGGCTGCGTGTTCAGGCTTCCCCTTTAGAGCTCGAGACCCAGAAACCCGCTTCCCTTCTTTAGCACAGCCTGCCTTCCCCTATACCGCCTCGCTCTCACTTTGTGTATCTTGTTAGGCAGCTGGGAAGACTTCCTTTCCCATTTCTGTTACAAAGTTTTTCGTCTTTTTGTCATTAGTATCGGTTTGCTGTCTCCGAATGGCACATGCCTTTAGTCAAGCTAGTGTGTGGATCACCTGGCCTGGAGCTTCAGGAGCCCCGGTGGGGGTGGGAGATGGGGGGTGGAAGGTGGGGGTGGAAGGTGGGCGGGTGCAGCCTCTGGAGAGGCCTCCTGAGGCTTTGCGGTTTGGATCGAACATTTTGGCCCTCAACTCCCTTGCTCTGTGCAGTCATGGATGCCCATTTTCCTCTTTTGAGGCTCGCAGGGAGAAATGAATTTTTACCCGCTTATAAAAGTGTTTGGTGGAGGGGAACCACTTGTGATACCTCAAAGATGCTTTTGACTTCACCAAACAATAATGTGTTACCTAGCTCACCATAAGCAAATAAAACCAGAATAGAGGTATATTAATGGTTATAGCTCCAGAAAATTTCCAGAAAAAAGTCAGGACTTGAAGTGTTTAACAATCATGGCTCCCTGCTTCCAAAACTGGCCTGTGGGTCCCTGCCGAAGTGGCTAGGATTTCCTCTGGCTGCCTGCAGTTCCTGGACCGGGCATGTGTGGGCGTCAGACCAAGGCTAAAGATCAGGGACCTCTCTAGATTTCAAGTTGAGTTTAGAGCAATGTGAAATTGCCTTGTAGGCGTGTGTTCTGAGCATTCCATGTATCTAGTATGAATATTCCTTAGAATATGGGATAACACTTTAATACGTTGTGAACTTACGTTGAAAGGGAGTAAAGGCTCGGGAAGCACTGATTTGACCAGAATGAAAGGAGAAGACAGAGCAGAAGGCTCCAGAGAACCTCTTCTCTCCCAGGTGATGGGAGCGGGAGAGAGGGTTGAGGCTGATGAGATTTTACATGGGTACACTACTGCTTTTGTGTGATACATTTTTCTTTTCTTTTTAAAATTTCACTATAAAAATAAGCCAGGGACCAGCAGATAACGTAGTAATTGCGTTGATGGACTCCCACATAGTCATCCTTGATTGGAGTCCCAGACTCATGGCTTAAACAAATGCCAGGCATGTGTGCCCAAAATCCCGAGAGGAGAATGGAGAAGGGATTGAGGCATGGCCATCCCCCCTGGGGGTGGTGGTGGTGGTGATTTCTTACTTTCTGTCTCTCTCTGGCAAGCGCATGTGCCCTATAGCAGAAATATCTCTAAACGTAAGTAAGTATATACATAAAATAAGTATGGAGCACATGCTCTCATTGGAGACAGAGAGAGAGAGTGGGAAAGTGAGAAAGCAGCCCATTATCATTCCGCAGTCTTCCAGTCTCCTCTTGGAATTTTGGGTGCTGCACACATGCCCATGCCCCGGGTGTTTTTTAAGTTGCTGGGTCCAGAACTAGAACCTAAGCAAGCCATGTGGGGTCTAGACACCTTGACTACTATACTACCTAGCTTGCCCCAATTTTCAAGGGAAAGGGGGAAACCATTGTAAACCTGCAGGTGGGTAGAAGGGAGAGAAGGTGCTGCACTTGTGACTCCCTCTCTCCTTTTTATAATGCATAGAAGTTTGGGCTTTTAGGTTCTGTGCAGATGATGGACGGTGAAGAATACTAATGTATTGAAGGGCCTGTGGAGATCAAAGCATTTAAAAATACATCTTTTCATGGAAACTAATGGAGGACTTTCCGTTTAAATGAGATTTTAAAGTGCTGTCGTTTCAAAAAGCACCTGCATGAGAAACGTGAGTGATTTTATGGGATGGTGCTCTGTTGATTACGCTGGAGAATGTCTGGCCTTGGCCAGTTAGTCTGAAGGCTTCTGTGGGTAGAGCTCTGCTTTTTTTATGTCTGTCCCTGTGGAGAAGGGTAGACCTAGGGCCTAGGGGAAAGATGGCCAAACTAATTGAATTAGATGGTGGTCTGGCTGGTGAGTTCTGTCAAAAATTGCACCCTCTAGGTACCAGTACTGCATTTCTTCATAGTAATTTGTGGAAATGCTTTGAAAAGGATAAAGCAGTGTAAAAGAAAAATGGAATGGTGCAAAACAAAGGAATTGTTAGTGAAAATTGTAAAAATTTGATTTTTCAGTCTATTTATTAAAAGGAAAATTTAATTTTCTGTTATGTAAGATTCCCCCCAAATAACTTTTGTTTTCTTGGTGTGGCTATCTGCATTTTAAATACATGTGGAAGCTCAGGCCAGGCAATTCTGTAATATTTTGAATAATTTGTCTCCTATTTTTAAAAATTATTTTATATAGCTTTATTTATTTATTTTATTTGACCAGAGAGGGATGGAGAGAGAGAGTGAAAGAGAGAGAAGAAAGTGAGAAAGCAAGCCACCAGGTCTGGGACTCGAACCATGTGGGAGTCCAGCACCCCCAACCACCTTGCCACCTGCTGGTCCCAGTTTCCTATTCTTTAAATTAATTTTGGTAGCTTCTTATGACCCAGAAGGCAGTAAGTAATAGAATTTTTGAGAAGCAAATGCTATCATGGAGTTTAGGAGGATATATTTGATAATACGGTTTATTGGGAATAGTCTGAGGTTGTTGAGGGGTTTTTGTTTGTTTGCTTAGTGTTTTTTTTTGGGGGGGGGTAAGGGGTGGCTTTGCTTTGTATTAGAGGACAGTGTAAGTCTTGGCCACTGTGGCTAACTCAGTATACTGCTTTTGCTAGAAGGAAGTCACTTCTGCTCTTGGGCTTGTGTGTTCTCCTCTAACATGGGAGGCCGTTGGCTCTGCCCTTGTAACCAGGCTTGTGAAAGGGTACGATCTATTTATTGTAGGCCCTCAGGACAGGACTCCTGGACTCCCAAAGGGGCTCACACAGGCATTTCTTTTTTTCCTTTCCTTTCAGGAGGGGGTAGTACAGTAGCTCTAATGTGTTAGGAAATGTGTTCCTGTTAAGACTAGAGAATTGAATTTTTAAATGTGTGTGAGACAACACTGGTCAGTATTGTAGCTGCGTAACTCTTGTCTTTTTTTTTAAGCAAAAATGTCTTATCATTTACTTGCTTTTTTAACTTTTTATTTTGAAATGATCATAGCTTCATAGGAGGTTGCAAAATTAGTAGAGAGGTCCTGTGTACCCTTCACCCAGTTTCCCCCATTGGTAACCTCTCTCCTATCCATAGTACAATAGTAGAACTAAGAAGATCGACATTGGTTCAGTCCACAGAGCATATTCAGATTTCACTAGTTTTTCATATATTGTATTTGCGTGTGTAAACTTCTACACCATTTTTGTGCTTCCTTGCTTCTTTCTCTCTCCTCTTCTCTTTCTTCCTTCCCCTTGGCAGTCTTCCAACCAGCCAGGAGCACAGGCCTTGCAAGTGTGCTTGTCATGTTCAGGTTTACTTGCGATCTGAAACCAGGCCTTCCACGTGGCTCCAGCGTTGTACAGCAGTGCCCTACTGCCTCCATCACTATGGCTGGGCCGCTCTGCAGTTTTTTCAAGGGTACATTTTTGTACCAAATAATCAAGAGACAGTCTATTCCGTTGTCTCAAGAATCTCACTTGTTCTACCCTTTGATAGTCACATTCACCATTTTTTTCCCCACCCCCTGCTCTGCCCCAATGCTAATAACCAGTAGTCTGTTCACCATGTCTATAATTTTGTCATTTAGGGAATGTTACATGAATAAAATCATGCAATATGTAACCTTTTGAGATTGGCTTTTCATTTTGCATAATTGCCTTTGAATTTTTGCATGTATCAATAGCTTATTCGTTTTTATTTCTGATTACTATTTCATGGTATGGATATACTGTTATTTGTTAACTCATTCACCTATTGAAAGACATCTGTGTTGTTTCCACTTTTTGACCATTACATATAAACTATGAACATTCATATTTAGGTTTTTGTGTATATGTGAGTTTTCATTTCTCTGGGGTAAATGTCCAGGAGTGTGGTTGATGGATTTTATGGTAAGTGTAT